AACAACATGCGTGCCAGGAACGCTCTTTTTCCATGTGGAAAAACCAGCCTAATGTGGGAGAGCTGCATTCTTCCTTTGGTGTACACACATACACCCGCATGAACACTGGCACCAAATAGAATCATAGAATCATAGAGTTGGAATAGACCACAAGGGCCATTGAGTCCAACCCCCTGCCAAGCAGGAAACACCATCAGAGCACTCCTGACATATGGTTGTCAAGCCTCTGCTTAAAGACCTCCAAAGAAGGAGACTCCACCACACTCCTTGGCAGCAAATTCCACTGTCGAACAGCTCTTACTGTCAGGAAGTTCTTCCTAATGTTTAGGTGGAATCTTCTTTCTTGTAGTTTGGATCCATTGCTCCGTGTCCGCTTCTCTGGAGCAGCAGAAAACAACCTTTCTCCCTCCTCTATATACTTGAACATGGCTATCATATCACCCCTTGACCTCCTCTTCTCCAGGCTAAACATGCCCAGCTCCCTTAGCCGTTGCTCATAAGGCATCATTTCCAGGCCTTTGACCATTTGGTTGCCCTCCTCTGACACGTTCCAGTTTGTCAGTGTCCTTCTTGAACTGTAGTGCCAGAACTGGACACAGTACTCCAGGTGAGGTCTGACCAGAGCAGAATACAGTGGCACTATTACATCCCTTGATCTAGATGCTATACTCCTAATTGATGCAGCCCAGAATTGCATTGGCTTTTTTTAGCTGCCGCGTCACACTGTTGGCTCATGTCAAGTTTGTGGTCAAGCAAGATAGCCATTGATACGTGCAAATAGCCATCCATTTACTCTTTCCACAACTTGCAGCTAGCAAAACTGGTGGCCTGGACCCAGCCTAGGAGTGACAATATTCACCGCAGCAAAATAAACAGGTTGTTATCGGCAATGATTTATTTTTTTTAGATCAGCTTTGAAAGGCCAAAGATTTGGTTCCCTTCCTATTCCCACCTGAAATTTCTATTCTGTGAAATTCAAAGCTTGCATGCTCTTCCAATCAGCCTAAACCCACCAGGGTGCCCAAACTTTTTTCAAAGAGGGCCAGATTTGATGAAGTATTGAAGTTGAACTTTTTTTTTAAGGATTTAAGCCAGAGCTGTTGAGCTTTTTTCTAGGACTGAAGTTGCTGAGCTTTTTTAAAGGATTTTAACCCAGGACATATACCGCCACAGGGCTGGATTAGATCGACCAGCGGGCCAGATTAGGCCCCCAAAAAAACGGACTTTGGACATGCCTGGCCTAAACTGAAGGTGATGACAAAGGCAGAAGGAAAAAGAGCAACCTTATTTCAGCCCAATTACATGAATGGAGGACACCGATTGCAGGATAACATAGCGGAAGTGTTTCAGTCTTCCAGACACGACTTGTTAAAAAGTGCCCATGCTGCAAGAGGCTGCTCATCAATGATGCTATTATAACCTCAGATCTGTTTGCTCTTCTATTCACGGAAAGGGAGGTGCTTTCTGACAACATCCCTTCCGTATTCTAGCCCAGATCCTTCTGAATCCCTGTCAGATCAGTTTGGGGAGAGGAAAGATGCTACAGAGCAATGGGGGACACAGGTAAGAGAAGATCCAAACAAAAACTTTTTGTATTATCCTGTGCTATGTGGCTGGGTTTCCCTCATCTACTTGTGCCACCTAGTGGTTTTCTGAAGTTTGAGCTTGCACATCATTTAGGGCAGGGGTGGCTTCTAACTTTGCAAAGTCGTAGAACAGGGGTCAGCAAACTTTTTCAGCAGGGGGCTGGTCCACTTGTCCTAGACCTTGTGGGGGGCCGGACTATTATTTGAGGGGGAAATGAACCAATTCCTAGGCCCCACAAAATAACCCAGAGATGCATTTAAAATAAAAGCACACATTCTACTCATGTAAAAACACACTGATTCCCAGACCATCCACAGGCCGGAATTTAAAAGTGATTGGCCCAGATCCGGCCCCCGGGCCTTTTTGCCTACCAATGTCATAGAGTCATAGAAATTGTAAGAAGACCCTGAGGATATCTAGTCCAACCCCCTTGCAACGCAAGGAATATACAGCTGTTCGGGACCAATCCTGCAACTTTGGCGTTAACAGCACCATGCTCTAACCAACTGAGCTATCCAGGGACTTGATTCCAACTGGCTTGGATCTTACTTTTGCTTCCTCTGCCAGTAAACAGCTATTCATAGCTCAAGGAGGACTCCTCTATATCAGGGTAGCTACTCTGTGGCTCGTCGGCACCCCCAACACACATGGCCAATGGCAAGGAACAGTGGCAATATCTGAAGATCAGCCATCCCCGTTCTATATTGAGACTTCTTTGCTGGGTGCTTGGCGGAGTTCATTGCACTTTAGGCCAAGACAAACAAGATCCTGAGGGACTTGGGACTACAGTGGTAACCTCGGGTTAAAGAACTTAAATTCATTCTGGAGGCCGTTCTTAACCTGAAACTGTTCTTAACTGAAGCCACCACTTAGCTAATGGGGCCTCCCGCCTTCGCTGCACGATTTCTGTTCTATCCTGAAGCGAAGATCTTAACCCGAGGTACTATTTCTGGGTTAGCGGAGTTTGTAACCTGAAGCGTCTGGTAACCTGAGGTCCCACTGTACTTATATGATCACAGTCAGGGTCCCCTAGCAATTACTGCTTGTCAAGTGTGCCTGGTAGGGACCTTACAGCCATAGAAAAAATGTCAAGCCGGATTGTGTTTGTGTCTCAAGCTAAATTATGTCTTTTAATTCTCATGCTGCTGGACTAATACTGCGGCAATTCTGTACCAAACGGCTATCAACCAGGGCATCCGAGAGGAATGTGTCAACATGACCTAGAAAACAGAACAGTACTGAGTAAAAGAGCTAGTGCGAAGCATTGCAGTGACAGCTACAGACACATCTGAGACGAATGCCAAAAGGAGTTGTGTGCCAGCCAATTGCTGCAAAATCTTGGAAGTTGCTTATGGCACCTTAAAGGCTAGCAAATGTATAGCTTTTCTGGGTCAGAGCCCATTTTGGAATCGACGTATTCTGAGGCAGTAGTTTGGTTTGGAAGACCAACCAGCCAATATATGTTTTTAGTGGTGTCCACTTGGGGTAGCAACAATATGCTGGTGTGTTAAAGCAGTGTTTTCCAAACTTGGGCCTACGGCTGTTTTGGACTACAACTCCCATCATCCCTAGCTAGGGCCAGTGGTCAGGGATGATGGGAATTTGTCCCAAAAACAGTTTGAGACCCAAATTTGGGAAATACTGTGGCTAAAGGCACCACTCACCTGTTGCCAGATACGCTGGTGCAAATTGTTTAGTATCAGGCACTAGCCAATCTTATCGGTTTGGTCCATAGTAACTCACTATTGCAATCCTTCCCAGAGTCAAATAAAATCAGAATCCAGGGTATATTCTTAAATATGGTTAATACTCTCTCCATTCTGTACATCACAACACCAAGATACCACTGCTTGGGAGCTCTCTGAAGAGGCTATGTAGTATGCAAAAGGCTAGGATTCTCACCCTTTTAAATGTGTTTGTGTAGTGTAATACATATCGGTATATATTGATATACACATCAATATATAATGCAATATATATCACCAGATATAACACATTGATTAAAGAGATACAAAAATTTGGCATCATTTCCAAACTTAAATAGTAAAAATAAAACTACAAAAAAGGAGCTGCATACCCTAAAATGTGAAACAAGCAGTATATTCAAAAATGTAAATTTACACCCAATTTTCTGCTCTGTCATGTCACAGCAGACCCTTTACAATGGCAAAATCCAAGTGTACTGCTTCTGGAAGAAGACTTCACCCTACGTGAACACTTCTCGTGGACAATCACACACACTGCCTGCTTGCGGAGTTATAAAAGATACAAATTCTATTGCTCACATTGACAGAAAGTCATTTTGGACCTCTTTTTAAGAATACACTGGTGAGGAGGTGTTACGTTAAGACAAACCCACCTTCCAGTTCAAGTGAGACAGGATTATTGGAACGATATGCAAAGTTGCCAGCTGGGAGTTTGACCAATACATGAAGACAAGAGGGAAATGTGAACACAGCTAGGCACTAAAATATCAGAGTATCTTTTAGAAAACCAGACAGCCCCAGGGGGATTCGGGAAAGTGAGCTAACTGCCTTGCGTGAGCCCATCCCACAGTGTTTAAAGTGAACCTTTGGCCGCCAAGCTTCTGAAAAAGAGAGAACTGCTATTTCTACAGCTGCTTCACAGCCCCCGGTGCCAGGTTGACATAGTCACATTTTGCAGCTACTTGCATTTAAAGCAGTTTGTGAAATTTTGATGTTAACTCACACCAAGGCAGCTTATGCAGTCCCAAAGCAGAACTAAAAAAAACCACCTCCAAACCCTAGTAAAGAATAGAACCAAGCAAAAGAAGCATTAGCTTGCTTGTGGAAACTGTTTATTGACTGACAGAGGGAAGAGTGAAGGCCACACGACTCATAATCCCCAATCAAGCCTGCCGAGACCTGGCATTTTGATTGCCGCAAATGAGACATACTTCTTGATTGAAACAAGCAGCGCTTTTGCAGTCAAAGATTAAATGGGTGGAGCTCCCAGGCTGTCTGAATTTACACATCGCACCTTTGAAAGCTGGCATGCCATAAGGGTTCAATTTCTTTTACTTCCACCCCTGTAGACCGAAGAGCAATGGGGTGCACCTCCTAAGGTTCTTCTTCCGCAGTCTAAGCCAAGAACGCCATGTAAATGGGTCGTCTCACTGCAAAACGCAGTGATTAATTGCCTCCAATCAATTTAAGAAACAACCAGTATTAATCTATTAATTTTTCAAATGAAGGTTTTACAGCAGTTAATGTGAGCATGAAGGTTAAAAAAATCATTTTCATGAAATACAAGAGCAACAATTTCACCATTAAGTAAAAGTAAAAACTGGATTTTTTTTTTTAATTAGTCCAAAATGGCATTAATAGAAACTTAGTAGATTGCTGCTGTACTGACACTATGACAAATCAGTAGGGTTTGCTTCTTTCTTCTTCTTTTAAACCCGGTGTTCTGGATAAAGTTCTGGAAAAACTCCAATTCTAAGGCAGGGATCTGTTTTGTATTCCATCGCAAGCTTTCTCCTTGGGTTGGATGCTGGAGGGGTGAGGCACGTTTTGCCGGACCCAGGTCGACTACCTAGTAGTCATCAAGGTCAAAAAATTCATCGTCTCCTCCTTGGTATTCCATTCCCTGGAAGTCCACTCGGTACCGCAAGATACCTTTGGAAATAAATGTTAAAAGGAAGATGTTACAAACACTTTGTACCCCGGAGTCGAAAGAAGAAGACTGTACACTTTTCCTTTCCACCTCTATTGATTCCATTTCTCGGAAAGACCTGTGTAAAACTGCAAGGTGGGAAGAGACCTGTGCCTAAGCTGGCAGGTGAATTCTTCAAGTGAGGCATTTGACTGGCAAGACAAATCTGAAGTCAGAAGAGGTGGTAAAGAATTATTCTAGCCTGAACAAGCAAGCACTCACAGTCTGACCAAACTGCAGTTGAAATTTGGGATTCAATTCTGAGAAGTAAAAGGCCTGTTATCTGTAGTGAGAGAAGCCAACATTGAACGAGCCTATACTGTATATGCAAACGAAGAAATCCCCATTTTTTCTTTTTTATAACCTTTATTAATCTTTTTTCTTTTCTTTTTTTCATGTTTAAAAGTTTTGATTCGTATTTATCTGCAATATAACTTAAAAAAAAAAACTAAAAAAAAAATCAGCCTTTAAATTCCTATCATCTTGACCAGCAGCCAACAAGAGTGTTGGGAAATTATCACATTAAGTTATTCTCCATCAGTTATAAAATATTGACAGAGATGCACTATTGGGGTCTCTCTCTCTCTGTAAGATGAGTTACTTGTTAACCGATTCCTTCTGTGCTCGGTAGAATGTACGGTTTCTGCTCTGGGTGGAGCATACAGGACATACTGCCCCAAGGAAAACCATACCCCTTTCCTGGTTACAGGTTGTGTCCCCTTATGGGGACATAAGTCCCTCTCTACGCTGCAATTCCTCCAAGATTATCCTGAAAAGCTTGTTAACAGACTTGGGAATGAAAGATAGGACCATGGGAAGCATCCATTAGAGAAGGTGGACATAAAGATACAGCAGATCTGTACTGAATCTGAATTTGTTTTTATGAATATGAAATCTCATTATTCTATTATCACTTTGAGATATCACAAAGCAGCATGAACCACAACTGCCTCAATCATAGATACTTATATGCGGCCTAGGACCCTCGTACCTATGGGACTGCCTCTCCTGGTATGCCCCGCGGAGGACCTTAAGGTCCATAAATAACACCACTTTGGAGGTCCCGAGCCTCAAGGTGGTTAGATTGGTCTCAACTAGGGCCAGGGCCTTTTCAGCACTGGCCCCAACTTGGTGGAACGCTCTGCCACAAGAGACTAGGGCCCTGGGGGATTTGACATCTTTCTGCAGCGCCTTCAAGATGGAGGTGTTCCACCTGGCCTTCGGCTTAGACTCACTCTGACCCCTTATATGGGATTTGGTATATAAATTTTCCCATGGTTTTTTTTTTTTGCTGGCCCATGTAGAACCAGCATGGATAGCTGGCTTGGGTGAATATCTGATGTTTCCTCCCTTTATGGTCTTTATTTATGGGCTACTACTAAAATGAGGCTACATTTTTAAGCTGCATTTTAAGCCATATTTTAATTAACTGTTTTTTCCCCTATTACATTTTATTGTAATTTATATTTGGTGTTAGCTGCCCTGAGCCCGGCCCTGGCCGGGATAGTAATATAATAATAATAATAATAATAATAATAATAATAATAATAATAATAATATTTAACAGTTGTAAGAATTCACTAAAGTAATGTAGGGTGCTGCAATTGTGGGTTACAAGAAACACACCACTCTTCCATTTCCCCTTTCTAATTACCTCCAATTCCTCCAAATCCTTTCACAAACTGGGATCCTTCCTGTGACTT